TCGCCTTCCCACGATAACCGATGATACCTAAAACAATAACCAACTAGGTAAGTACGAAGCTTAGTGAGTTTCCCCCAAAATACCAACACACAAACATATAAGAAACAAATATCGGGTCCACAACCATCCGGTTGGATTACCCTTGGCCCACAACCTTCCGGTTGGAATGCCCATTACCTAACGGGTCTACAACCTTTTGGTTGGATTACCCCTGCCCCACAACCTTCCGGTTGGAATACCCCGACCCATAATCATCGGATTGGAATTCCAATATACAATGGGTCAACTCAGTAATCGGACTGAAATACCCTCGGGTCCACTCAGTCATCGGAATAGAATACCTCCGGTCTATTGGCTTACGCACAAAGCAGTAAAGCCTCAACCCACTACCACCATATGTCGACATATAAACAAGAAATGATCAAGTAGGAACATAGTACAGACAAACAGAAATTTAACAAACCACTATCGCATAACAACATCCTATATACGAGGATACAGACCTAATAAATCACCACAACATAGCAACATCCTAATTACCAACGATTCAGGGAATGCATAACCGTATATACTCAGAGGTGAGATAGACACCCAGACAGGTGATCCTACTCTAGAGCCATAACCAAACGAGGAACAGATAAGAAAGCCTAGATAAAGTGTCCTCAGTCTATCCTATATGACTATATGCAATACTTATGGTATCCCTCTACTAAAGATAACCAAAAATAGTGGGCCGACATTAGTGCCTTCGACCCACGGTACAATGAGGCGAAACTCACCTGAATCGAAGAACTCTGAACACAACGATATGATCCTTTTTTTCAGCACTTCTTGTTCCCGTAAATTCACTAACACCAGAACCATGTAGAGACTCAATCAATATCCCAAAGTCCTCATGTTTGACCCAAATTCAAACTTGGTTAAAAAGTCAACGGTCAACGAAAGTCAACAGACAGACCCTCACAACGTGACCATCTATGGCCTCACGTCGTGAGCTACTACAGGGCAAACTAGTCGGGTCTATCATTCCTCATGATATGATAGGCATAATCCTCATATCGTGAAATCCATCTGGGTGCCAGTTCGATCCAAAAACCTCTCAATCCATTAAGTCACTACTCAATCTTTTCCAGGAGGCTTCCTAACACTCCTAGGATAATAAAAATCGATGCTTTAAGGTTTTGCATGTCCAATACAATACTCGATCTTAAGCTAGGTCATTTATGAAGAAAAAAGGAGTAATTTCTCAAGCATGGACTTAAACCTCCTCCAAGCTTCATATCCATGACATATAAACACAAAGGGACCCCTAAGGGCCCATAAAGCTGCCAACTTTATGGAGTCTCAACACTCTAACTCTTAAGATCTTGGATAAATATGCATAAAACCTTAGATCTAGCAACAAGGAAACATAAATCTTGGATCTTTATTACTCACATTGGTCCAGAAGTGTAGCTAAGGGTTGCAAATGAAACTTTCAAGTTGAAACTATGCTTCCATTGTGATCTTTTCCTCTTTAAACCACTAAAACTCCACCAAAAGCTCAGGAATCACAAAGAGAGGCTAGGGTTAGGGTTTTACTGAGTTTAAGGACGAAAGAGGTTGTTTAGAAACCCTAAAATGAGGTTCATGGGGTTTAAATACAAAGGAAACCCTAAAAGATCATGGGTTTGGGCTGCAAGCCTGCAACGTATCTCACGTCGTGAGCTCCTAATGCTCACGTCGTGATCTCGGTTTAAATCAGAATCTTAATTGATCACTGCTCACGTCGTGACCTCCCTATGCCTCAGGTCTTAAGCCTTGGTTTTACCCCAAAACCAAGTCTTGACTCCTTGAAACCCTAAATCGATCTGATCTGGAAAACAGGGTGTTACATAAAAAGTATATTTCTCAATACATGTTTATATTTGATGGGAATGACAAATATCCGATTAGTGGTCTTTAGATGGATCATTTTATGGTAAATATAAAGTAGATACCTTGCCCTTTGTAGGGTCTGGGAGGTCACTGGTATCCCATGCAAGCATGGAGTAGTTATAATTTTTGACATGTTGGATAATGGATTGGAAGTTGGAGTTCCTGAAACCTAGGTAAATTCTTGTTATTGGTTAACAACATGGAAAAAAATATATAACTACATGACTGAACCAACAAAATACAAGAAACATATGGCCAACATCCAACTGCCTCACCACTATAATTGCACCAAACATTGTAGACATGTATAATCCTTTTCAATTTTCTTGCAAATTACTTATATACTTTCAACCTTGCTTATAATCATATTAGTTTAGGCTGGTAGGTCTAAAAAGAAAAGAAAAATAGCAGTGGATGAAGGGAGGAACCAAAGTTAAAAGTTGTCAAGAAGGTATGTGACAATGACTTATAACAAGTGCAACAACAAGGGCCATAATTGTAAAAGCTGCAAGGTACAAGGGGAGATATCAAGAAAATGCGGGAAGACCAATAAGAAGGACAATGTGAAGGGACCAATGGTGTAAGTGTGTTGGCACTTGAACTTTTGTTATGTTTAAGAATGTAAGATAATGTTGCTTTTTATTGGTTTTCTTTTTATTGTGAAAACACTTCTAGAAAATCTTTTGTTGTAGTGCTTTTTAAAGAATCAACATCGTGGATGTGTTTAAAACAATTGTGTGTAACTTTTGTATGTTGTTTCATACCACACTAATATATGTGCATATTATGCTAACAAAATTGCACATTCATTTTAGTTGCATATCTAATGACAATTAAATGGTCAATATTAAATGTTTTTTCTTACAAAAGTAGCTATAAATTCACAATAATGTTTTGCAAACAAAATACCATTGCTTCAACAACAAACACATTTCCATTACAACAACAACCATAACCAAACTAACATTATAACACCAACTGTTCATTAATGGACAATTTTACCCTCACATGGTGTGCACGTGAGGGCTTTTGAACGACAATTTTTTTTTGACTCTGTGTGCCAGAGGGTCAATTTATGTAATAACGAAAAAACATAAAGAGCAAGTTTGTCCATTTTTTTTGAGTTGGACCATATGTGCATAGTTTACCAAACCATAGGGGTCATTTATATTACTTCAAAATTCAATGTTTGGGTTGAACTTGAGATTTTGAATAGAATACGAAGATTATATCAAAACTTAAGAACAACAATAAGACAATTTTAAATTTTGGATGGAAAATTGTGATTTTGAGTAAAACGAAAAGACCAAAATTGGAATTCATTATATGAATTATATGGTCAAGACATTAGACATACTAATTACATGTTACATACTAATTATATGGTCAAGACATTAGACATAGACAAAATTGCAAGAATGGTTCCTGTGGTATGTCCAAAATTGCTACTTTGGGCCAAACAAGTTTGGACTAACACTAATAGTCCAAAAGTTTTCATTTTGCTGCGGTTTTGGTCCAAATCAGTTTAAAAAATCTAAAAATGACGGATTTGCCCTTTTCCATTTGTTTTTTGCTTTTTCTTTTTGTTATTTAATTATTTTCTAACTAAAAAAATAAAAAAATAAAAAATAAAATAAAATATAATCTCTCTCTCTCTTTCTCTCTCTCTCTCTCTCTCTCTCTCTCCCCCCACTTCTACAACCTCTTCCCCTTCTACCACCTCCATCATATGAGTTCAAAGAACAGGGGATTTTCCGGCAACCACCAACACCAGTCGGATTTTTCGGTAACCACCAACACCAGTCAGATTTTCTAGCAACCACCACCACAGTCTGCCACCACCACCATTCGCCACCACCCACAGATGAACAAACATACACGAAATCAGATGAACACACACACACATGAAATCTGAAGAAAACATTAACAAATCAATACAAACATTCATCGATTTTTCAACAGATTCAACACAGACACACAAAACCCAAAAATCGATTCTCTCTCTCTCTCTCTCTCTCGCACGGATATGAAACGTCATTTTTCTTCTTCTTATTCTTCTCTCTCATAGACCAGAACCGCCGCCTCCTGAGAATCAACAAGATGAACAGAACACAAGCCCTAGCACCGCTGGAGTTGGTGGGTAACGAGGGTTTGCAAACGATGGTTTCAGTTCTGCCCCTTCCTGAGAATCGACAAGCTTCATCTTTACAAAACTCAAGCCCTACCACCGTTTCAAACCGTCCCCACTGTTTCTCGACCCTCTTGGCTCCATCAAACAACCCTCAGGTTAGCTTCAATCGAGTTTGAAGAAGGAAAGATTGAGACCCTGAGGTTTTCAGAGGCTGCCACCATTCTCGTTTTTGAAACCCTAGGGTTTTCAGAGGTTGCCGCCGTTACAATGCCTAGCTTCGATCTGTGTGTCGCAGTCTAGAACTTTTAGGGTTAGATTTTTGCTGCCAGAGCTTCGATCTCGTGGCGTTCATCTCTTCTGCCGGTGGTGTTCAATCTTTCCGGTGAGGGTGAAGCTTGGGGGAAAAAGTGAGGGTGGTGACGTTCTCTTAGCAGAGTAGAGAAGAGAGCGGGGAGGAGAGGGGGAGAGGAGAGAGGAGAGAGAGAGGGAGGGGGAGGAGAGAGAGGAGAGAGAGAGAGATAGAGGCGAGAGAAGGAGAGGGAGAGAGAGGAGAGAGAAGAGGGGGGGGGGAGAGAGAGAGGGGGAGGGAGGGAGAGAGAGTGAGAGAGAGAGATTCTCTTCTTTTTATTTTATTTTTATTTTTTAGTTAGGAAAACAATTAAATAAAAAAAAGCAAAAAAACGAATAGAAAGGGGTAAAATCGTCATTTTATAAAAAATCAAACCAAAATGGATCAAAGTCGCAACAAAATGAAACGTTCTGGACCATTAATGCTAGTCCAAACCTGTTTGGACCAAAGTGACAATTTTCGATATACCATAGGGACCATTCTTGCAATTTTGTCTTAGACATACTAATTACATGTTACATGTGACAACATAACGAGTGTCTCGTGGATTCCGTTAAAAAAGTGTAAAACAAGTTGAGGAAAAAACTCCTTTATCTCAAAAGAGATTCATTAAAACTAAACCCCCTTAAACTCTCTCGTTGTATGCTTCCAAAGCAAAACCCTTTCTTACTCATCGTACCCATTCCCAATTCTCTCCAATTTTGCATCAGAAATCCTCGAATTCAACCGGAAAAGCTACCATCTCTTCCTAATTTTGCTTCTATTAACAATGTCCACCATGAATCAACCGGCGACGCCTCCGCCGACGATCGGAAAGATGGGCCCATACACCGTCTTCGTAACCCCTTCCGATTCATCGCATTTCTCAGTTTCCGATTCTCGGAAAAAACATTATATTCCTCCTACGTCGGTTCAACTGACGCCGGTGAAATCCGCTCCTCTGGTTCAGCCTCCGCCAGTTCAGTACGGGAAATCCACTCCATCGAAACTCGCGCTTTTCTGGGATGCCGTTGCCAAAGTTCAGAATGGTACTTTTTTTATTTCCCCTTCACTTTTGAACTTCATGATATTTAGAATTGAATACGAAAATTGTGGCGGATTTCAATTTTCTACTTGTTTCACTAGATTTCAACAATGTATATGCTTAATTCATCAATTTGTTGATGTTTCATGCCAAATTACCGATCAATTTCACTTGATTTGATTTATAACATCTTACTTCAATATACGGGGGAAAATTTGGGTGGCAAATAAGAACTAACAAGATCAAAAAGATGGACAAAAATGTCACATTGATCTGCTATTCCTCATTGTTGTAATTATGGATTTTATGCAAGAACGATTGTTATATAGCTTTCCTTTCTACCCTTAACTGCATTAAGTCAACAAGAAACAACATCTTGATTTGCAAAAGTGAATGATCCCTTAAACATGTTATTTTGGGATTTTCATAAGAACTAATGGCATGTTTATATGACAGCACATTCAAGTTTAGATGAACATGTAGCACATTGGTTTGGATTGAATCAATCAAAATATCAATGGGCTCTTGATGATTACTATGAAAGCAAGGGAATGGTAAGCTTTTATTTTCTTTTTTCTTTGACTTAACACTTAATAGGTAATCCATAAAGCTACATATGGGTGTTTGTTTTTCACTTAATAGAGAAACTCAAAAGTCCTAACTTTCTATGAATTTGCACTCATTTATTTTTTCTTTCCTTTTCTCTAGTTGTATCATCATTTTCTCAAATCATTTTTGTGTGTCATTTTCTCAAAATAATTTTTGTATGTCGTTTCTCAAATAATTTGTGTATGCCCATACAACATTTATTGAAAAACAAACGAAATTTGCAATAAAATAAAATAAAATAAATAAATTGAGGGAAAATTTGAATTTGGGACACCTTAAGTTGGCTTTCCCTTGGATGTTTGTGGGCCCCACAACTCTATCTGGTTAATTAAAAAGTAATGACTGTTTGAAGTTTATCTAATTCCAGGACAAGGTTGACATACGAGCAAAAGATTCATCCACCAAAGCTCAAAGGGTGTAATATATGCTTTTGATTTGATAGGTAGGTTTTTCAAAAATTTGGATTCCCTTAATTCTTTGACTTTTATACTGCGTTTGACATGGATTGTGACTGATGTCAATGGGACAAAAGTTGCAAAGTAATATCCCATCCAAAAGAGTGGGAGTGTCAGACAGAGAGGAAAAGACATAAATGCCCTCCTCATCCTTGTTATTGAAAATAACCCTCGAAAACTTGTCCAGTTTGTGTAACAAATATTATCATCGATTCTTGTTTCTTGAATTTGGTTTTTTATTTGGTTTTTTTTGCAGAACACCTTCGTGATCTCTTTTGAACATGATATGTTTATAACATGAATTTACTTGTTGGTTGAATCGGATCGATCTACATGGTTTTTGGAATCTGATTGTGAACCTCTTGGTGTTTTTACTAGGGTTAATGTCATGAGTGGGTGATGCACTATTCATTTTAAATGGTGTTTTTGTGAAAAAAAAATTAAACAAATAATTTGTTATTCATTTATGACATTAACATTTTTAGTAAGGAGTATGAATCGATCATTTTATTGGTAAGCAGCCAGAAGATTAGCAAGAATTGTAGGCATATGTTTGTTGTTTAATTTGTGCTTCTTTTCCGGTTAAAAAATGTTGTTTGTGAAAATTTACTCTTTAATTTTATTTTTCGTTTAATTTACCTAGAGCAAAGTCATTATAAATCGAATATGGAATTGAATGGAGATTAATGAGAATTAAAAAAGAAAAAAAAAATCTCCTTTGGTACTACACAGGAATGGAATAGAAGTGGGGGTAGGTGCGGCAGGATTTATTAATAAAAGTTTAATTTAATAAAAGTTGATTAAAACATAACTAAGATGTAAAATAGTAATCTCAATCTAATATGAAATGAAACAAAACAAAATCTTATGGACATTGGACAATAATATAGGTGCCATATTGATAACATAACTCAATTACATTGTTATTTTCGAAAATTAACCATTTTACACACATAAGAAAACAAAATTGGATGAAGACAATAGTTTCTTAGTTTACTAACAAATATACCAAAGGAACTTGGACAAAAAGCTATACATCACTTCCAATGATTAAAATAAATTCACCTATAGGTAAAAAAAAAACATCATGTCTTCCAAACAACTCAATTAAATTATTTCAAAACATCATAAAATAAACACCCAACAAACTTTAGAGAATCTTTGACCAACAATTCCCAAAAAAAAAAAAAATCCACAAGTTAAAATCAAAGACATTTTCATGGGGCCGAAGGTTTTTGAATAACAAAAGACATACATTGAGCTTGCTTCACATTATCAAAGGCCAAACACCTTATATATGCATTTGGGTACGCTTTCTTGCATTCTTGTATTTCAGTCAAAACTTGTGATGCATCTGTGCAACCAAACATGGGCAGCTTCCACATTGTCCAATATCTTCCATCATAGTAATTCGGAATTCGGCTGTTCTCTCGAAATACATATCCCACCTAAATACACAAATTGAATAAAAAAACCCTAATTTTTAGATTATATTAAGATTACCCGAAAAATATGTTGACCCACAAATTGAAAACATTAGTTTCGTTGTTTGTTTATTGCTGAAATTAATTTAAAAATCTTAAACTTGAATCATGTTTCTGTAAAAAAAAAAAAGTTATTTTATCAACAACCCTGAGCTGTCACACATTGTCTTAAATTCACATGTTATTAAACGGTAATGTGGTGTTTGGTTCTTGAAATGTTTTTAGAAAGAATGAAATACGTCAAACTGATTGGATATTTGGAATATGAAAGGTATCATAATTTGTCATGTGTTTAGTTAACAAGAAATATAATGAAATTCAATTATAAAAATTAAATAGTTTTTTAAAATTTTGCTTGTATTTAAATTCATTTTGGATGTTGTAACCGTATATAACCTGATTTTTTATTTTTATTAATTTCAATATATACGTAACTTGTGTAATTTGGTGTTTAAAAAAAAGTAAAACAGAACTGAATTCCGTCAATTTGGCAACCAAACACACTAGGAATGGAATCCTAAATTCCATTCCCACTGGAATCCATTTTAGCAAAATGCCCTTAGTTAATTGACCTCACCGAATCAAACTCGAGACAGGGTATCCATCCCTTCTTCATCATGTAATCAATCTCCTTTGCAATGGAGTCATCTGTAAGAGGTGGAAGATACGAAAGAGTTTCAAACTTCTTGTTATCGATTGGATTCCAAACCTATACACATTCAATCATTCAATTCAATATCTAAATCAAAAACTCCAAAGATTTTACAAGTTATTATAAATAATACCTTCATGCAATGAACCCTAGAACCATTTGAAACTGTTTTCTTGATCCATGGAACCGAATTTGTTGTCTGGAAAAGCTTTGATCCATTTGGGTTCAAATTCAAACCCATGTAAATGGTTCCAGTAATTTGTGGTGTTAAGGATGCTACAAACATTTTAAAGATTATTTTACAAATTGAGAATAGAAGTGATAGCAAACATGCATTTAATAGTTTTAATTCTGTAAAGAAAGTGAAATGGTCATATAAAACAATGAATTGTTACGTATGATTTATCACACAAGGTGAAGACTCCAATGTTCATGGAGGGCTTTGTTAGGCATTTAAGCATAAGATTCATCACCATGTCATCTTTTTTTTTTTTTTTTTTTTTTTACTTCTTTCTGATTTAGTTGTACACGTGGCAAAAAAAGAATCAGGGATCAGCCAATGAATGACGTTGGTTTCTACAAAAAAGTTATTTTTCCGGTTGTTGGATATTGAAATGTTTGACAGATGAATTTTTTATTTTGACATACTGTTTTAGAGTTTTTCAGATTTTAAACCCTAAGACTATAAATAGTTTAGGTTTTCTTAAAAGAGCCTCATTTTCCACTTCAATTTTCGTTTTTATGATATACAGAGAAAGTAAAAGTTCATCTTGTTTATGTGAGGTTTCTTCATTGTATCTATACATAAATATTTCACTGATTCCTTGTTTATCTGAGATCGATTCATCTACTGTTCTTAATTTTCACATTGTCATTTCATATTGTGTAAATCTAGGTTCCTACACCAACAACCTCTGATCTAACCGACACACAGCTAACATCATGTCAATGTCAATCAGGTACACAGTAGCCCATTACTCATTACTGATTCATTGATAACTTATTAAGTATTTGTAGGATTTCACAAAGATCATTTACTCGAGGGTGAAATTGATCATGAACAAAAAACTTGTGAACAACACCATCGACCTCGATAAAACTCCAACTAGGGGTATTATCGACTTTTCTCTCCACCATCATATTCCTCAATCTAATCACATTTTCCCACCTTCCAATATCCGCATACATATTAGCAAGACCAACATATCTTCCACTATGACTAGGATCAAGTTCAATCAACCGTTTTCCAGCTCTTTCTCCTAAACATATTTCACTATGTGTTAAACACCCATGTAGAAAAGATCCCCAAATAGCTTCATCAGGCTCCATTGGCATCAAATTTATAAGTATTTCAGCTCCTTTCAGTTGTCCAGATCTAGCGAATATATCAACCATGCATCCATAATGCTCGATTCCTGGTTGAATGCCAAAAACTTTGAACATTTTTCCAATTAAACACCATGCTTGTGTCACTAAAGATTTGTGATTACAAGCAACAAGAACAGCAATGAATGTAATGTCAGTAGGAACAGGTCCTTTATGTGTCATCTCTTCAAAAAGCTTGATTGCTGATTCATTTCTCCCATTTGTGGCTAACCCCATGATCATGGAACTCCATGTAGCAACATCTTTGTAACGCATTTTGATGAATATGTCTTCAGCTTTCTCTATATCACCACATTTAGCATAGAAATCTAGAAGTGCAGTATCAATCTCGAGGTCAAAAGTAAAAGATTCTTCAAGTAATTGATGGTGGATGTTTTTGCCTTTATCTAGGGCTCCGATTTTACCACATGCAGTGAGGATGGTTAGTAAAAGAGGCCTATTGGGCTTCACTAAACCACTCTGTTTCAAATGGAGGAACAATTCGAATGCTTTGTTGAAAAGTTCGTTTCTCACAAGCCCAGAAATCATTGCACTATATGATACATCGTTTCTTTCAGGCATTTCGTCGAACACCTTACATGCCTCATCAACAAGACCATTATTGAAACACCCAGTTATCAAACTCGTACAACAAACCACGTTCTTATACGAGCTTTCTTCGAACACCTGTATAGCTAATTCAACAGCTTTGAGATTCGAATACATATAAATAAGCGAGCTAGTCACATAAACATCGAAAACATTTCCAAGTTTGACGACATGTCCATGCACTTGAAGCAACGAAGATATACAATCACATGTTTTGATCAAAACAGGAAAAGTACGAGCATTTGGTTCGATGCGATTGTTGCGCATTTGAGTGTAGAGTAGAATACCCATTTCTTGTTTTGAGGTTTTGGAGTAACCCAATATCAAAGAGTTGTAATCGAAGATGGTGGGCGTGTTTGTTTGGTTCAAAATTGTGTGAGCATAATCGATGTCGGACATCGCGGAGAAAGCTAAGAGCTTGCTGGTTATGTAAGTAAATCGAGCAAGTCCGATGGTGATTGTTTGGGCGTGGATTTGTTTGAGTTGATCCATGGTTGAACATTTTTGAAGCAGGCGAAGATATTGGGGATTTGAGATTGTTTTGACAATGGCCCTGTTCATTCATATAACTATAAGCCCTTTGATCAACTTTCCCAAGTTATAAGGATTATGGACCATAATCAACATCAGATTTCAAAATATGAAACCCATTTCTGAAAAATGAACACAAAATCAGGGGAATAAAGTTACAAACTTTCCGGAGACGATGGTGGGTCGTGTGCGGCGGCAGATGGTGTCGGTCAGCCGGTGGTGAGCGTGAGCAACGTCAGGACTCAGTCCGTCAAGCTTCTGTCAGTGCTGCAGCGGCGTTGTGCAGCTGTGCTAAGTTTCCGATGACTGTGGGCGGTGGATGTGGAGTGCTAACTTCCAGCTGCTTCTAGTTCTTGTTAATTGGTATGCTAGGTCAAAATTCAAAAAGAAAAAAACGGGAGAGAAGAATCAGAAGGGAGATGTTGGAAGAGAGAAGGGAGATGGTTGAACAATGATGCAAATCACCCATCCGCAACATTCCTTCTGAAGCGATGCGAGATTATAAAAATGTTTAGCATGACAATGTTTTTTTAATTGTATTTTAAATTTTATATTTTAAATTTTATATGATAATGTTTTGCATTTATAATCTAAAATATACAATAAAGTCTCTACATTTTGAGCTCATGTTCGATTAATTCTCTCTATATATTTTTTCTCATTAAGTCAAGAATACCGGGAATTGTATTCAATTAAGTCCCGAATACCGGAAATTTATTCACGTTGACCATTTTTACTTGGTCAACAAGCCAACCATTTTCAAGATTTTCACTTTTGGCCCAAATTTAAAAATTTATTATAAATTTGATCCAAAATTTACATTTTTGGCATAGTTTTCAAAAAAATTCTTACGAATTCATCCTAAATTTAGTATTTTTACATATATTTTTTTTTCAAAATTTAGTTTAGAATATGTTTTTTTCTTTTGCTTTAAAAAAATATTTATAAAAAAAAATATTTTTACATAAAAAACCTTTTCTCTATATTAAAACCTTTTTTAATAGATTATTTGTTAAAAAGAAATTATTATATGTAAAAAATATGTTAAAATATTAAGAAAAAACATAAGAAAGAACACGTCGATATAAAAATATTCTTAGAAATATATTTTTATTTTAGTAAATATCTAGGAAATATATTTTTATATTTCCTTTATTAAAATCATTATATTTGTTATTATTTTTGTCAAAACTTATGAAAATCATAACCTCTTCGTACAAACTCCATTTTCAATGTTCTTTATATCGACGTGTTCGTCTTGACGAATACTACAACTTTCATGTTGACAATTTTAGCCAAAAAAGAATACATTCACTTTCATTTTTATAAACAAATGTTTATATTTATTAACTTTTATAAGTGAAAATGAGTGTTACAATTTATTGGTTTATATTAAAAAAAATGTTGAAGTGGTTATGCCTACAAAATTTTGTTTAAAAACTAAAAAACATATTTTTCAAATTAAAAACCAAGATATTTACAAAAATAAAAATATATTTCTAAGAATATTTTTATATTAACGTGTTCTTGCTTATGTTTTTTCTTAATATTTTAACATATTTTTCACATATAATAATCTTTTTTTAACCAAAATCTTTAAAAAAAAAGTTTTTATATAGAGAAAAGAAGTTTTTTTATGTGAAAATACTTTTTTGTATAAATATGATTTTATAAAGTAAAAAAAAAACATATTCTAAACTAAAATTTTAAAAAAATATATGTAAAAATACTAAATTTATGATGAATTCGTAAGAAAATTTTGATATCTGGGCCAAATGTGTAAATTTTGGATCAAATTTGTAATAAAATTTAAAATCCGGGCCAAAAGTATAAATTTTGAAAGTGGTTGACCTGTTGACCAGGTAAAAAGGGTCAAAGTGAATAAAATTCCCGGTATTCAAGACTTAATTGAATACAATTTCCGGTATTCGGAACTTAATTAGAAAAAAATATATATATAAGGACTTAATCGAATATGAGGTGAAAATGTAGGGACTTTATTGTAGATTTCCTATACTAAAGGGGTCAATGTTGTTTGGCTATTATAACCTATTATTTTGTGTTTTAAAAGATCTCTTATTTATTTATTTATTTATTTATTTTCGTCCTAATAGGACATGAACTTGATATTTACATGTATTTTTGGGTACCACATGTAACTGAAATAAAATGAGGTGGGCTTGTTGTTGCCATTATGGACTCCTTATGGCATAGTTACAAGCTGACAATATAAACCTTGGTCACCAAGTTTTGGGTTATGGTCCCTAGTATAAATGAAACCCTAAAATGGTTCAATAAACAAAACCTTTCTTCCATTCTAGAACAAATTTACTACTCTATAACCCTAGATTTGACATTCACATGGAGCATTCTTTCATATTTTTTTCTTAAAATGGGTGCTCAACAACATGCTTATTGATGATTTAAATTTACCACTATGCAACCGTGAGGATAAAATCATTGAGACGTAGATCGAGATTCATAAACTAAAGGATGGAATGGGTCCCGATTACATCATATTAGGATCCAAATATTTGGAGCTTCAAGTTGAGCTTCACGTTGTCAAGAAGAAAATCAAAGCTTAGAACATATGTTTTTGTCTTAATTAGTTTGTGTACAGTTGTGTCGACCCTTGTGGTCATGGATGTCTAGAAGAATACAGTACAATGGTAGGGGTGGGATGCTTGGTATTTAACTTTAGCTCTTGTATTAGGGTTATAACTTGAATACTTTTAATCATTATTAAGGTATATAAAACTTGATAATGATGTTGACAAAGAC